CCTGGGGGTGCGCGGGGCGCTGCGGCCCCCAGGTGGCCAGAGGCAGAAGGATCACGGGCAGCAGTCTCCCCACGCCCAGAGAGGGGTCAAGAGTTCTGTTTATCTTACCAAACATCTCTGGAATGCCTTCAGAGGCAGCTGGCCACACCGCTAGGGCTGGGGGGCTGCCTGGGGCCTGGTGGGGGGCTGCCGGGAGGATGCTGCCACAGGCCTGCCCTGGGGGTCTCGGGAGACTCCTTCCGGGGGCCTGGGGAGGAGCTGGGGCGGTGGGGCCTTCCCCAGGGAGCCGGTTCCCAGCCGGGCCCAGTGGAAGGAGCTGGCTAAAGTGGGGTGAAAGGCCGCACACCCCCTGGGCGAGGGCCTGCCTCCCTGCCCAGGCCTCTAGTGGCCAGCCTGGAGCTGCCCAGGCCTCCTCCCACATGGGCTTGGTGGGAGGGCAGCCCCAGGCTTGGCCCGGCAGGGGCAGGAATGGGGAGACCCAGGCCAGGGAGAGCTGGTGCCCTGGGCAGGTGTCTGATGCCTGCCCCCTTCTCTCCGCAGACCCTCACCTCCTGCGCACCATCACCCCCGAGACCCTGTGCCACGTGGGAGGGCCCTCGCCCCCCTACGCTGCCATGGGGCAGGGGCTGGTGCCCGCCGACCTGCACCACACGCAGCAGTCCCAGATGCTGCACCAGCTGCTGCAGCAACATGGAGCTGAGTAAGACGGGGCTCCCCCTCCCCAGGTGGGAAGGTGAGGTGGGGGTCAGGGAGCAGCAGGCCGGACAGAGGTGGAGGTGGGCACGGGGCAAACCCAGGAAGGGCAGGAGGCTCAGACCCCAGGACACGGGTCAGGGTATGTGTGTCCGCATGTGCCCAGCAAGGTAGCAGGTATTCCAGCTACGGCCAAGTGCTCACGACTGCCTTGCTGGGCAGGCATGGCCACCCCCGTTGTCCGCCTGGGAACCTGGGCTCTAGGTCACGGACTGGGAAGGACAGAGTGGAGATTTGCACCTGGGCTGTGCTGCTCCCCAGCGCCGGTGACTTCCCAGCCGCATGGAGCCCTCGGCTCTGAGGAGGTGCCAGGCGTGGACCCGCTCTGCCTCCAACCTGCAGAATTGCCATTTTATGTTTTACACGTTGAGATTTAAATATACATATACATATATATATATATATATCTTTATTGATTTCAAGTAGGGAGAGGGAGAAAGAGAAAGAAACATCAATGATCAGGGAGACTCATTGTCCGGCTGCCTCCTGCACACCCCCTACTGGAGACCAAGCTTGCAACCCAGACGTGTGCCCTGACTGGGAATGGAACCCTGATCTTCTGGTTCATAGGTCGATGCTCAACCACTGAGCCACACTGGCCGGGCTACCCATTGCTATCCCCTGAGAGAATTAGTTCAAGGAAAGATTCTGCTGCCAAACCTTTTTGTCAAACGGGAGAAGGGGTGCTGTGCAGCCCCCCACATTTCAGCCCCGTTCCAGGAAACGCTCCTTCCTGCCTCTGTGGCCCATGGGGTGCTCTGCAGAGGCTCCCCTGGGGGTAACACGGGGTGACGTGGGTGACAGCGCAGGGCAGGACAGCCTCCTCACTCCCCCGGTTCTGAGCCCTCCGTGTGCCAGGCCCCTTGCGGTGCGATAGGGACCCATGGGCAAGTCCGGTGTGGCTCCTGCCGCCGGCTTCCACAGTTCGGGGGTCGGGCGGGTGCGGAACCAGGGAATGCAGCACAGAGTGATGGGGAGCCCTGCGGAGGCCACGCCGGGGTCTTCCTGCAGGAGGTGTCCTCCGGGCTGGGCATATCCGGCAGAAACAATGGAGAGGGCGGCTGGGCACTGCCTGGGGGGAGGGGCTCAGGGGGAGCCAGCCCCCCATGGCGCACACCTCTGTCCCTTCAGGCTCCCCACACACCCCTCCAAGAAGAGGAAGCACTCAGAATCGCCCCCCAACACCCTCAATGCCCAGATGCTGAGCGGAGTGATCAAACAGGAGCCTGGGACCGGGACAGCCCTGCCCGCGCACCCCCCGCGAGCCCCCTCCTCCCCTCTCCCCAGGCCCTGGCTCCTTGCCTCTCAGCATCGCCCGGGTCCAGACACCACCTTGGCACCCGCCAGGCGCCCCCTCGCCAGGTAAGAGGCTGGCCTGCGGGGCCCTGTCGGGGGCGGCCCTTCAGGTTGGGGAGTGGGGCGCAGGGCCCACATAGCATTCCCCCCTCCAGGTCTCCTGCAGGACAATGACAGCCTCAGTGGCTCCTACCTGGACCCCAACTACCAGTCCATCAAGTGGCAACCACATCAGCAGAACAAGTGGGCGACCCTGTACGACGCCAACTACAAGGAGCTGTGAGTGAGCTGCGCGCCCCCCGACCCTCCTGGCCACATGGCCATCTGGGGCCCGCCCGCCTGGCACCGGGGTCCCAGAGCAGGGCCTGGAGCACAATGGGGACCAGGTGGCCCACTTACAGGAGAGCAGACAGGCTCGGGGCAGAGCTGGGCCAGTGCTCAGGGTTCCTGACTCCTGGGCCAGCCCGAGGCCTCCTTAAGAAGGTGGTGCCTGCCAGGGAGGGGCGAGTCGGGGCGCCTCCTCCCCTGCCCCTCCCCCTCCTCCTGCTGCATTCCAGGAAGGTAGCAGGAAGCTGAGTGTTAGGAGGCCCTTCCCGCAGACCGCCCCCCCCGCCCCCCCCCCTCGGGAGGAGCTGGGGACTGGTCAGAGGCTACCTGGATCCTTCCTCAGCACCCACCTGGCTCAGTTCCCCGGCCTGTCCAGGAGCACTGGGACTCTCCCTCGCTCCCATGGGGTCCGGCGAGGGCTGAAAGTGTGGCCCCACAACTCGCTTGGACATGGCCAGGCCTGGGCAGGGTGGCTGGGCATGGGCCCTGTCACAGCTGAGACCAGACTCTTGGAGTCGGGCTCTGTGGGACTCCTACCCAGAAGCCCTCGGGCCTAGGGGCTGTCCATTGCTCTGGTGGCTGAAGGGGCCCTTGAGACCCTGCCAGGGTTGAGGGGAGGTGTTTGGGGGCCCAGCCCCTATGGCCTGGTGCGGACCCCCACTCCTAGTTCTGGGCCAGCCCTGCCGCCCCAGGCCCCCAAGGCCAGGAAGCTGGCAGCTGGGGCTCCGTGTGGCCCGGGCACTTCCTGGGTGTTTCTCTGGCGCAGTCAGGTGGGCGGGGCCCGGGAGGGAGACTCGGGGAGCCCTGGGCCTTCCCGTCGACATCACAGGCCCGGAGTCCTTTTCCCGCCGCTTGGAGCCATTCTCCCTGCCCAGCTTCCTCCAGGCAGGCACCGGGCCTGGGGGGCACTGCTTGTGCCTGGCCACGCTGTAATCGCTCTCTTTCCTGCCACCTGGAGGCCCCCCAAAGGGTACAGACTGGGTACACTTTCTCAGCAACAGATGAGTAAACTGAGGCTGGGTCCAGCTGCCCAGAGTGCCCCCCGCCCCCCCTCCCGGCATACAGGAGTCAGAATGAAGATGTTTGGGGGCTGGAGGGAGTCTGTGGGCAGGGGCTGGGCCGGCTCCTGGCGCCTGGTTCCACCGTTTCCATGGCTACCAGCTGTCAGCCCAGTGAGGCTCTGCAGACCATCCCCTCTAACCCCATCTCCCACGAGGGCGGGGGCTACGGAAGTGTTACGGGGAGGAATCAAGTGTGGTGAGGGGCCCCCAGGCCCCCCCAAAGTTCCCTCCCATCTGGTGGGCTCAGGTCTCTGGCCGTGTTTCCCTCCTCCCCAGCGTGGTTGGTCCCAGGCACGTAGAGGAAAGAAGAGTGCCTGAGGGGGTGGCAGGCCTGAGCCCAAGTCCTCCCGGGACTCAGTTTCCATTTCTGAGAAGCAGGGGCAGCCCCGTGATCTGGGGTT